TGAAAATCTCAAAATTATTTTTGTCAAAATGTTTTTTTTTCTCATGAAAATCACAAAATTCTGACTTTTTCACAAAATTCTGACTTTTTCTCATAATGTTGGTGTCTTTCAAAAAATCAAAACATTCTGACTTTCTCTCAAAATCTCAAAATTCTGACTTTTCCGAATACTTCAAAATGTTAATAATCACTGGTCCCCAGCTTGAGCTTCAATCTCAGGATCCATGTATTTGTGATCCTCTCCAGAATGGAAGTAGTCATCACATACAGAGCATCAACTAGTTCCTGAACAGTGTCCTTCACATGCTGATATCCAAGAGAGGGAGTTACACAGTCACAAGATGGAGGAATAGAAAGCTAGTATTCAATGTTTACTTCAGATTAGCTCCACATCAGGAATGAGCATGCTTGTCATATGGCTATCTCCATAAATCATCATGTTAATCACATAGCAAAATTGGGGACTTTTTCTCAAAATTGGACTTTTTCTCAAAATGTTGGTTTTTTTTCATGAAAATCTCAAAATTATTTTTGAAATAAATCACAAAATTCTGACTTTTTCACAAAATTCTGACTTTATCTCAAAATGTTTGGTTTCTTTCAAAAAATCACAAAATTTGGACTGTCTCTCAAAATCCTGACTTTTCCGAATACTTCAAAATGTTAATAATCACTGGTCCCCGGCTTGAGCTTCAATCTCAGGATCAATGTATTTGTGATCCTCTCCAGAATGGAAGTAGTCATCACATACAGAGCATCAACTAGTTCCTGAACAGTGTCCTTCACATGCTGATATCCAAGAGAGGGAGTTACACAGTCACAAGATGGAGGAATAGAAAGCAGTATTCAATGTTTACTTCAGATTAGCTCCACGTCAGAAATGATCATGCTTGTCATATGTCTATCTCCATAGAGGCTGAATCATCATGTTAATCACATAGCTATCATATGCCTCAAACAGTCCTGATGCTCTTCTAGGTAATCATACATCCTGTCATGTTCACAGCTACAGTTGGGATACCTTTGTTATCATGTTGCTCTCATGTTGGAAGAGGACATTCAGGATTTTCCCAACAGATATTATAACAGGTTGTTCATTAACCACCTGTTTTTTTACTCTCTTCTGCAGCGGCCCAGCGCTCGTGTCGCCGCTAACATGCTTCACCTGAGCCTGTGGGGGGGGCGGGCTCTATCCGACCTGAGGAAGCTCTCTGATTGGCTGCTGTGTCAGTCGGCCGTGGTGCTGCTGGCAGGGTGCAGCGGCCCGGGAGGGTGCACGGTGGAGGCGGAGCTTCAGAGGAGCTTCCTGTCCAACCTGGATCTGGAGGAGCTTCGCACCGCGGGGGGGGTTCCTGCTGTACGGCCGGGGGGGGGGGCAGCGGCGTCTGATTAGACTCACCTTCAGACCAAACAAGAGGATTCTCCCCTCGCGTTAAGATAAGAGAAGATAAAAAATACTTTATTGATCCCAATTTGGGAAATGTTTGCGTTGCAGCAGCATAAAAAGACAAGGTATTGCACGTTAGAGAAATTAAAAGTATATATAAATAAACCATCAAACTGAGACAAAGACAGGCCACGAGTCCGACTCAAAACACAGACTTTATTAATTAGATCAGCTGCTTACATTGAAAGTACATGAGTGTTAATGATGAGACAATCATCATGTGATTGGTCTGTTAATAAACCCATCTAACCCAGATCAGAGGTTTACATTCACCCCAGAAGCAGCCGTGTTCATTCAAACATCATCGTGCTGTTTAGGGAAGATTAGTTTCCTAAATGCAAATAAGGCTCATCGAATCTGACCCTTCTTAAAAAGTAATGACCATGTTTGCATGAGAGTAAAAAGCCAGCATTAAAATAAAGCTGCACACTGTGCCGCTCAGACTCTGCTGTGTAGGGCCACGTTATATTTTAAATATTCACAGGGAAGCCGGTCATTGAGCTCCAATGCATGCACGCTGTGGTTTGCACTTTATGTTCACGTTTGCACTTCAGACGTTATTATATGTTAGTTTGTAGACATCATATATTATATTCTGCAGAAGTGATTGAACTCGTCACTATGACCTGTTCTTAACGAGCCTCAGTAACCCTTTACTGCTGCCATTCAAACTGAAGTGATGTCACGTGTTCACAAACTACAGATGGTGGGAAGACTTTGGGATAAATGTACATTTTCCTGCAGTTTCAGAATAAAGCCTCCGTGTGGAAATAAATCAGAATGGACTTCCTGTTGTTATTCAACCTCTTTCTGAGTTTCATCTTTGCAAAGACTGACTTTTGTTTTTGAGCTTTTTCTTAAAATCTTACAATTCTGACTTCTTTCTGAAAACTTTATTTTATGAAATCTCAACATTTAGATTTGTTTAAAAAGAAAATGAACATACAGACATATTTTTTCAGATAATCTCAGAAATCTTAGTTTTACACTTTTATGATCAGCCCCTCTCTTTTTTTGGGAGGGGGGGGGGGGGGGGGGATCACTCCTGCAGAGAACACAGAGACACTGAGGCACCAGGTAACAAGAACCCAAACCCAAACCCAAACCAAACCCAGCATAGAGAGGTTCAGTGAATGTGGTTCTGAAGGTGTGGATGTGGATCAGTGTGTCAGAGGAGACTCTGTAGAAGGAGAGAGAGCCAGCAGGATGATCCAGATACACTGCTACTCTACGAGAGGAGGAGGAGGAGGAGGAGGAGAAGAAGAGGGAGATGTCTCTGTTATTGTGAAAGACAGTGTAACCTCCATCACCGCACATCAGACTCCAGGACTGATCATTCCCTCCAAACCAACCGTTCTCACTGCCTCCTCTCCTGCTGATTCCTCTGTAAGTCACTGCTATAGAAGCCCATCCTCTCCACTTGACCTCCCAGTAACAGCGACCAGTCAGAGCTTCTCTGCACATCAGCTGAGGATAGTAGTCAAACCTCTCTGGATGATCAGGATATTTCTGCTCCTCTCTCACACGTCTCACCTTCCTGTTGTTGTCAGACAGTTTGAGTCCTCTGTGTGCTGTGTTTGAGTCCAGTGTGAGTCCACAGGAATCTGATGAGAGACACAGCAGGTATTAAAGGTTACTAAAGTACCTGTGATGTCCCAGTGTGAAGATGTTCATGATTAAAAACACACTTACACTTCCTGACACCTCCTGGCCTCAAGAACTGGACTGCAGCAGGCTCCAGGCTGAAAGCAGAGGGGGGGTCAGTTAGTCTTTAAAGTGGACCTATCATGCTATATTTAAATGATATATTGTAGAGCCATACCTATATAAGGTATATTTATACGTTTCTGTTTTCAAAATACCAAACAGATCATGCATTTTAGCCATGCCTCATTTCGCTCTATGTGCTGTTTGCTGTCTACGGGTTTGATTCTGCTGACCACGCCCCCCTGCAGGAGAGGGGAGCCGTGCTCTGATCAGCTGCTGGGCTGTCAGAAGAGGGGGAGAAAAAGAGATCTCCGTCCTCCGTGTTTTATTATATAGAGTCGTTATTCATTTGTTTTAAAGCTCAATAAATAACAAAGAAGACCTTTGACCGGCACTTTTCTAATTTTGTCCAGAAGATTTAAACTTTAACGGACATCTTGACCGGCGAAAGAAACTGAAACTGAAACTCTGCCGCACGGTCCCCTCGTTACTCCCAACAGTGAAACTTATAAATCCTTATTTTCATTCAAGAGAAGGTTCGTTGAACATTGGCTGTTTGCTAGGACTCAAATTAAAAACATCTGGAAATGAAATCAGTTTATTTATTCATGATGTCACTTCCTGTGCTAAATCTGGGTGAACATTAAAACCCCCCCACTCTGTTTCTGTTGGTCGTTCCACGATGAACATTGACCCACTGAGGGGGGGTTTCCTCTCAGTTGTGGAACATTTGTGTTTGATGTTTACAGCTGACGGCAGACAGTGTGAAGAGTCAGGGTCTATCAGCTCTGGTTGTTTCAGGTCATAGGAGCCAGTTTCTACCTCCTCTATCAGACTGAGTCCCTCTCCATACCTGAGTGTGTCCAGTCCAGCAGACAGCAGCCTCCCCCCTGAGTCTCCTGGATGATTGTAGCTCAGGTCCAGCTCTCTCAGATGGGAGGGGTTTAAAGCTGAGGCCAGAGCATCACAGCCTTCCTCTGTGATCAGACAGCCTGACAGCCTGCAGACACACAAACAAGCCGTCAGATCATCTGAGGGTCCAGTTAGCCTACAGAAGAAGCTTTAATCTGACGCTCATTTAAACTGCTTGTATCTGTGATGTCATCCTTTCAGTGTCTACCTAAACCTGATGATGGTGAGTAAGGGTTGATCGCAGACGGACTGGTAAATAGAGAGCTTTGCCTCCAGCTCAGCTTCCTCTCTCTAACGGTCCTGTACAACGCCTGCATCACTACTGACTCTGCAACAAACTGGCTGTCCATCTAACACCTCATTTGACCCTCACTCGTTAACGAGAGCCTGAGATAGTTAGCAGATAGCAAAAACTCAGTCAATCCATCGTTTCCAGGCAGAGAGCCTTAGCACCAAATGACTACCCAAATGAGAGCTGGAGGTCAAACGCTTCTGCCAAATCAATAAAAATGAAGCTCTTTATAGAGGCTTTATAGAAGTGTGTGCTAATTAACATTTTGTGAATTGTGACAAATATATTGTGTCTTGTTTCACTTCAATTATGTTTTTGATGATGGTATTCCCACACCACACAGCAGGGCTGATTGTTGGCTAAGTCAAACTGTACTGGTCTCTGACCTGAGAGTCTTCAGTTCACAGTGTGGACTCTCCAGTCCAGCAGACAGCAGCTTCACTCCTGAATCCTGCAGGTCGTTGTTACTCAGGTCCAGCTCTCTCAGACTAGAGGACTGGGAGCTGAGGACTGAGGACAGAGCTTCACAGCCTCTCTCTGACAGCTTACAGCCACTCAGCCTGAAGAGACAATGAGGACAACAGTTATTCAGAAGACAGCAGTGTATTAATAACTGATTCACTAAATCAAATGATCTCTGTACTTACAGAGCTTTGTTGGAGGCTTTGACCACTGGCAGCAGCCTCAGAAGAGCCTCCTCTGAAGCAGAGTATTTATTCAGGTCAAACACGTCCAGATCTTTTCCTGATGACAGTAAGATGAAGACTAGAGCTGACCACTGAGCAGGAGACAGATTATATGTGGAGAGACTTCCTGAACTCAGGGACTGTTGGATCTGCTCCACTAGAGAATGATCATCCAGTTCATTCAGACAGTGGAACAGGTTGATGCTTCTCTCTGCAGACAGATCCTCTTCTATCTTCTTATTGATGTACTGGACTATTTTATAGTTGATCCATGACTGGACTGTTTTCTTGTTGGTCTCTGAGCTACTTCCTGTCTGTGTCAGCAGGCCTCGTAGGAGTTTCTGATTAGTCTCCAGTGAAAGACCCAGGAGGAAGCGCAGGAACAAGTCCAGGTGTCCGGACTCTGTAAGGCCAGGTCCACAGCACTCTGGTAGAGATGTGTTAGTTCAGGTTTGACTTCAGACTTCTGGGAGGTTGTTGGTTCTTCTGACAGCAGGTTGACCCCAGAGTTGATGAAGGTCAGATGAACATGAAGAGCAGCCAGAAACTCCTGAACGCTCAGATGGACGAAGCAGAACACCTTGTCCTGGTACAGTCCTCTCTCCTCTCTAAAGACCTGTGTGAACACTCCTGAGTACACTGAGGATGCTCTGATATCGATGCCACACTCTGTCAGGTCGGACTCATAGAAGATCAGGTTGCCTTTCTGCAGCTGCTCAAAAGCCAGTTTCCCTAGAGACTCGATCATCTTCCTGCTCTCTGGACTCCAGTGTGGATCTGTCTCAGCTCCTCCATCATACTTGATGTTCTTCACTTTGGACTGAACCACCAGGAAGTGGATGTACATCTCAGTAAGGGTCTTGGGCAGCTCTCCTCCCTCTCTGGTTTTCAACACCTCCTCCAGAACTGAAGCAGAGATCCAGCAGAAGACTGGGATGTGGCACATGATGTGGAGGCTTCTTGAGGTCTTGATGTGGGAGATGATGGTGGCGGCCTGCTCCTGATCTCTGAATCTCTTCCTGAAGTACTCCTCCTTCTGTGGGTCAGTGAACCCTCTGACCTCTGTCACCATGTCCACACACTCAGGAGGGATCTGATTGGCTGCTGCAGGTCGTGTGGTTATCCAGAGGCGAGCAGAGGGAAGCAGTTTCCCCCTGATGAGGTTTGTCAGCAGCACATCCACTGAGGTGGACTCTGTGACATCAGTCAAGATCTCAGTGTTGTGGAAGTCCAGAGGAAGTCGACACTCATCCAGACCGTCAAAGATGAACACAACCGAGAACTGATCAAACCTGCAGATTCCTGTGTCTCTGGTTTCTCTGAAGAAGTGATGAACAAGTTCCACCAAGCTGTACTTGTTCTCTCTCACCACATTCAGCTCTCTGAAGGTGAATGGAAATATGAACTGGATGTCCTGGTTGGCTTTGCCTTCAGCCCAGTCCAGAGTGAACTTCTGTGTTAAGACTGTTTTCCCAATGCCAGCCACGCCCTTTGTCATCACTGCTCTGATTGGTGCATCTCTTCCAGGTGAGGCTTTAAAGAGGTCTTCTTGTCTGATGGTTGTTTCTGGTCTGTGTGGTTTCCTGGATGCTGTTTCAATCTGTCTGACCTCATGTTCATCATTGACCTCTGCAGCCCCCCCCCTCTGTGATGTAGAGCTCTGTGTAGATCTGGTTCAGAAGGGTTGGGTTTCCTGCCTTAGCAATGCCCTCAAACACACACTGGAACCTCTCCTTCAGGGTGGATTTAAGTTTACGCTGACAGACTTCAGCAGGAGTTTCTGAAAGAACACACAACAAAATATAATTTGGTCACACTGTAACTCTGGTTCTCTGAATAAAATATGGATATATGTTGGTCCCTTGAGACATCAGCAGATGAGACATTTATCCAGAGTGTTAAATCTCTATAGAAACCCTCTTACTGTTCTGCAGACGGTCAGCCAGCTCCTCCTGCTTCATGCTCCTCAGGAAGTGCAGTGTGATGTTCAGAAATGCCTCTCTGCTCCTCCTCTGCTCTTCATCCTCATCCTCCAACACCTCCTCATCCTCATCCTCACTCTGACTCTCTAAGCCTTCTGGGTCATCTGAACTCAAAGCCTTCTGGAACTTCTTCAGCTCGCTCTTCACAAAAGTGACGATGTGGTCCTCCAGCAGCTGGAACATCACATGAACGACACAAACTATAAACCATGGATCCAAACATCAGATCCGGACAGACTGACTCTCTAAAAGTGCAGCATGGAGATGACTGTGAACAGAAGAGAGGTCAAGTATCTGTAGTACATGTACTCACCGTAAATATGGAGTCCAGCTGTGTCTGATGCTGCTGGGCAGACTGACCACCGGGAACCTCCGAGCTCTCCTGGTCCCCTCTGTGGAGGAATCATGAAGCATTAGCTCACATTATGTCTGTCCACACAGAGACACACTCAGGGTGAAGGAGGACAGGGGAACAGGCTGGTGGTCCTGTGCGTCAGCGGGAACTTTGCACTACAGGAATATTTATTTCCAGCTACTGTTGAAAACCAGAGGATTCTGTCCATCCTTCATTCTGGTCTTCCTGAAACGTGGCTGTGTGGATAGATACTGGACTCTGCAGCTGGCTAACAGCTGTTCATCAGGAAAAGGAAAGACCTAGGGACAGTTCTTGCACCAGCCCCCGTTACCCCCCCAGCTCCACCTCCAGCACCATAGCAGGGGTTAGGGTTCACCTGGCAGAAGACCTGGTTGGGACTTTGATGAAGGCTCAGTATCCTCCATCAGAAGTGTTTGTGAGACGGTGGAACAGCTTCTGAACAGCCTGAGTTTTCAGATGGAGTTTCACTGCCCCTCCCAGTGTGGACGTTCACAACTAAACACTTTGGACAAGAGGAGGGGTCGGACAACACTTTAAACAAACTGGTTATATCTCACACAGGCTGCGCCCTCTACTGGACTCTATGGGTACTACTCTCTATCATGCAATGGACTCACCATTACTGGAATCTCGGCCATGCCCCACCTGCCCTGGTTTGATCACGGGCACCGATCTCCACCACCTCTGTTAGAGTGTTTGGGGGACCAGGATATGGCCGAGGCGGTGCCATTCACGTTCGCCATTCCAGCAGGGCGGATGGCTCCCTTTGCCGTTGTCGGGCACTTCCGGGTTCGGTCCATGGAGGTCCACCGCCCTAGGTGATGACCATGGCGGCGGAGCGCAGCTGCTCCCAGCGGGCAGCAGGCTGGGCAGGGAGCTGAAAAGAGCTCTGCCACGCTACCGCGTGACAAGGCGACTGCAAATAAACACGGGTGTGTTGGGCATCTCGCTCATTGCTGGAGATGCCCCCACCTCACCAGATCAGAGCGATTATTTGTAGCTTGATCGTGGCCGCCGCCGTTGTCTGCCGTGTGATATCCCGGTGAGGGATCACGCCGCCTGGCACTTTCCAAAAAGGACCGCGTTGATCTCCTGGGAGCCCCCGTGTTTACGGAAGGGCTCTTTGGATCGATCTCCTTGGTCACGTGGGTGAGGAGTAGGCTGCTTCTTGCTCATCCCCAGAGGGACTATTGTAACGCTCTGTATGTGGGTATGGACCAGACCTCAATCAAACGCTTACAGCTAGTCCAAAACGCTGCTGCACATTTGCTGACTGGTCACAAAAAGCGCGACCACATCACCCCTATTCTGGCCTCACTACACTGGCTTCCAGTTCGGTTCAGAATTGATTTTAAAATCCTTTTATTTGTTTTTAAAGCCCTAAATGGGCTGGCTCCGGCCTATATAACTGAACTGCTCCAGCGCTACACCCCAGCCAGAGCTTTAAGGTCTGCTGACCAGCTGCTGCTGATAGTGCCCAAGACCAGGCTAAAAACCCGAAGGCACCGAGCCTTCGCAGCAGCTGGCCCTAGGCTCTGGAACACTCTGCCCCTCCATGTGAGGTCGGCCCAGACCCTAGGGGTTTTTAAATCAAAACTAAAAACACACTTCTTCTCTCTGGCTTTCTAGTTAGAGCGGAGCACGACTCCTGACTATTCCGTGTGTTTTATTCTTATTTTGTTTTTTTAAGTTATATCTGTTGTAATTTATTGTCGTTTATTGTGTTTTGTAGTAATGTGTTTTTATTACATGTACAGCACTTTGGCTCGACCAAATATCGCTTTTAAATGTGCTTTATAAATAAAACCTGATTTGATTTGATTTGAGAGGAAAGAACACTGTCCCATACTCCCCGCCCCCTCTGTAAACTCCAGTATAGGAGACAGCAGGTGGGCGCGTGCATGTGAGTGGGATAAACCGTAGTGCTGTCAAAGCACTGAGCGGGTTCAAGAGAGTGATGTGTGTGTGAGAAATGCATTCAGTGAAAATGATTGCATTTATCCCAGAGTAAGAGTCATCTCTCTCCGCATTTCCACTTTTCACCATAATGTCAGTTTCAAAGAGACGGCATTTGACAGAGACGCGGCCCCACGGGAGCTGCCGCGGTGCGTTCAAGAACCTCAGTAGAAAATCTGCCCTTTTTCTGTGTCAGCCACCATGCCAAAACTCCCTTTTATGGAAGGTTTGGCAGCGGAGTAGGCCACCAGAGAATACTACAGCTTCTTAGCTGTGGCTCCACAGCTGCTGGCATGTCCCCTGAACACAGTTTTGTGGGGAATGGAAGCCCAGCTGTGTACTGACAGAGTAGAGGGGCAGGACACTGAGACTGGGTTACTCACTCCAGCTTTGCGGCGTCCCTCCTCCATTCAGGGGCAATAGAGAGGCAAATCTATCATCCTGGGAGGAGATAGGTTTCCTTTCAACAGAAAGTCGAAAAGAGGCCCTGTTGCAAGAACGGTGGGTTACGTATATAGTAACCCTAGTTCTAGAGTGATGTGTGTGTGAAAAATGCATTTAGTAAAAACTATTGCATTTATCCCAGAGTAAGAGTCATATCTCTCCACAATTCCACATTTTCCCATAACGTCTCGTTGAGATCGGCAAGGCCGTTTTCATACGATGTTAATTGGACACCCATTATGAGGCGCGGCCCCCGTGAGAGTGGCCGCGGTGCGTTCAGGGACCTCCGCAGAAGAACAGTCGGTTACGCAGAACACAGGAGAATTCAGGCCCATTCTGGATCTTCAATGCCTGAACCAGCACATTGCATGCAAGAAGTTCCATATGTTAACTATGAAACAGTTACTGGGACTGGTGCAGCCAGGCGATTGGTTCACAACCATCGACCTGAAGAACGCTTACTTTCATGGCGAAATTGCACAGAAAGTATTTGCGTTTTGCCTTCCAGGGGGTAGCCTATGAGTACAACAGACTGCCGTTCGGCTACTACCTATCCCCACGCACGTTCAGCCACGACGCTGCAACCGCTGCAGGACCATGGCATGAGGGTGTTCTTTTATCTGGACGACTTCATAGTCATGGCCAGGTCCAGGGAATGGGCAATGTTTCACACAGCCCAATTGATCCTACGCCTAACCAAGTTGGGTTGAAAAATAAGTTGCGGTCAATTGGAAGAAGAGCTCCCCCATACCTCACCAGCAGGTAGAATATCTGGGGGTGATGCTCGATGCAGGCAGACTACGTGCCACCCTGACAGAAAGCAGACAGGCATCCCTGCTGCGGGCAGTCTGCAGGCTGCGTCAGGGGGCGACGGTGACAGCTTTGATCATCATGCAGACTTTGGGTCTCATGACGGCTGCTCACTCCGTAGTGCCACTCGGACTGCTGCATGCACGTCGCATGCAGAGGTGGTTTACCGGCCGTCGTTTAGATCTTAAGACACAAACGACGTCTGGTGACCATCCCCCCCCTCAGTAGAGAGCAACCTCCGATTCTGGGGGTCCCCAGAGAATCTGCGGAGGGGAGCTCCACTGGGGCAGGTAACCTCCTATATCACAGTCTTCACAGACGCTTCAGTGACAGGATGGGGGGGGGACGTGCCTAGAGAGAGCTGTGGGTGGTTGCTGGCCTCTGGCAGAGGCGCGGCACAGCAACCTCCTGGAGCTGCAAGCAGTGATGTTGGTCCTACAGCACTTCAAACCCTTAATACAGGGCAAACATGTGCTAGTAAGGAGCGACAACCGCATCACAGTGGCATACATCAACAGGCAGGGCGGAGTCCGCTCAATAGCCTTGTTGACCGCAGCAGAGAACCTGTGGCTGTGGGTTTCACAGATTGTGTTGTCTCTAAGGGCCCTGCACATCCCGGGACGGGAGAACTGGGGGGCCGACCTCATGTCAAGAGGCGGACCCCTGCCAGACGAGTGGAGGCTTCACCCGGAGGTGGTGAAGCAGGTCTGGACTCAGTTCGGTAGAGCAGAGGTGGACCTGTTCGCCAATCGGCGCAACAGCCAATGTGCCCTGTGGTTCTCCCTGGCTCGGTGGGACAAGCTGCCCTTGGGGGTCGACACATTTGCACACGAGCCATGGCCAAGAAAGCTGCTTTACGCCTTTCCACCGCTGCACATTATCCCCCCCCCTCCTGGAGAGGGTGAGGCGGGGAACAGCTGTCAATCATCCTGGTGACCCCAGATCGCCGCCTGGCGCCGTGGTACGCGGGGGTAACACAGATGATGGTGGGCCAGCCCTGAGCGATTCCTCAGGTCTGGGGAGCGCTGTCTCAGGAAGAAGGTGCAATAGGGGCGTTACCCACTCTGGGCCAACCTCTCCAGGCTTGGCTCCTGACAGGGACAGGCTGAGACAGGTGGGGCTGTCTGATAACGTTATTCAGACTATCCAAGCAGCAAGAGCAGAATCCACCACAGCTTGTTACAGGCCAAAGTGGGCGGGATTCCGGCGATGGTGTGAAGGAAGGAGTCTAGAGCCTCTGTCGTGCACGCTGGGATCTATTCTTACCTACTTACAGATACTGGTGGACAGGGGGCTGGCTCATTCCACAATTAAGGTGTATGCAGCAGCCATTTCGTCCTGCCATGAGGGATTTGGAGGCAGGTCAGCCTTCAGTCAGCCGCTTATGACGCGGTTTTTGCAGGGGGTCAGGAGGCAGCGCCCAGTAGTGCACGCCTCCGCCCCGCAGTGGGACCTGCCGTTGGTGCTCGAGGCTCTGGTCACAGAACCATTTGAGCCTCTGGAGCTCTCCTCCCTGAAAGCACTGTCATGGAAGACAGCATTGCTACTTGCCTTGACTTCGGCTAAAAGAGTGTCCGAGCTGACCGCTCTGTCGGTACACCCAAGTTGTCTTGTGATCCGGGGTGACCGTAGCGGTGCGACACTCAGGCCGAACCCCTCCTTTACTCCTAAGAGTATCAGAAGTTCATTCAGATCAAGGGCTATTCAGTTAGGTGGCTTTAATCTTCCACCCCATATTGGGGCCAGGGAGGCTAAATTGCACCTCCTCTGCCCAGTGCGTGCGCTAGCATGCTATGTAGAGCACACGGCTGCCATTAGGCGCACTGAACAACTGTTTGTGTGCTTTGGGGATGGTGTGGCTGGAAAAGCCCTCTCAAAGAAGCGCCTAACAGGATGGCTATGCGGGTGCATTACACATGCCTATGGACGGGCGGGGAGAGCCCTCCCCACTGGGGTCCGTGCACATTCTACACGGGCTGTGGCTGTGTCAACAGCCTTATTCAGCGGCGTGAGTGTAGAAGATATATGCACGGCGGCGTCTTGGTCTACGCCAGGCCCCTTCATAAAATGTTATCTCCTGGACATGTCTGGCTCCTTCTCGTCGTCTGTGCTTGCCGAGGCAACGCATGACTGGTGAGAGGGGGGTGGCTGTGGGTCAGCAGGTATCTGACCCACCCCCCTGGACATAAAGCACTTGTGTTTTCCCATGCTCCTGAGGGACTCGGGAGACATGGTGCGCAATCAGCCCCATACAGGGCTGGAGGACTCTCCCCGCCTGCCTATGGGCAGGCTGGGAGAGCCTTCCTCACTATTGTCCATGCCCACTCTACACGGAGCGTGTGTGAGTGTGGGGGATGTGGTGCACTTATGTTTTCCCATGCTCCTGAGGGACCTGGGGAACATGGTGCGCGGTAGGCTCCAGACGGAGTCTCCGCACAGTTTTTTCCATGCACACTCTACACGAGGTAAGCGTGTGTGAGTGTGCCTTATCCAAGTTGCGGCCCCGACTTCTCCACGGTTACAACCGGATGGGAGGAAGTGGGGATGCAGTGGATGTTAGCCAAAAGCCGGTCAGGGACGGTGTGGTGGGTCGATGTTGTTGGATGACAGGGCGTTTATACATCGGAGCCTGTGTGAGATATAACGGGGGGTTACGTATTGTAACCCTAGTTATATAAGCACAGGCGGAGCCCTCTACCTGGGGGCCCTGTCTTTCCTAGTCCGCTCGCTGAAGAGTGTATAGGATAGTGGGGCGGCGGGTGTAGCCGCCTTATTTACTGTGGGCCTGCGCGCGCATTCAGGTAGGCTCGCCCCGATTGGCCGGCTACGTTTACGTAAATTCAGTAGGTGAAAGCATGCACAGCATGATAGAGATAGATAGTACCCATAGAGTCCAGTAGAGGGCTCCGCCTGTGCTTATATAACTAGGGTTACAATACGTAACCTCCCGTTTTATTCTATCATAACCGGACTCTTACTATGAGTTACAGCTTACTTCTGATCAGCAGATGGAGGTCGTCCTTTAAAGTTTATGAAGTCGTCCTTCGAGGAGTCGCTCTTGAGGGACAGACAGCTGGGAGAGTGTGGTCTCTGCTGCTGGACCCTGAAACAGAAACAGATCAAACATTTGCGTAAATACCTTTTTGTTTTGTTTTATTATTTGGTTTTATTTCATGCAGATTAGTTTGCTCATATATACAAGCTACTGTTTGAAAGAATATTTTAAAAAATATGATCAAAAGGGTGGAATGTAATGGAACATTTTATTTGATCATTCAAAGTTCACCATTATGTTCTTCTTGATAAGCTATTTCTTAGAAAATGACTCAGAGTCAGCAGTTAAGATAACCTCTATCGACACTGTAAAAAAAAAACTCGTAAAAAAACGGTCAAAGTACTGGCAGCAGCGGCTGCCAAACAAAAACCCTTAAATTAAAGTAAAATACTTTAACTGAAATAAAGTGAATAAGCCATTAATTTACGGGAATTGTCCTTAAATATTTTACAGGAAAACACTGTAATTTTACAGATGTATCCTCTCTTTTTACAGTCAATAACCTTTAATAAAAGTACATTACTAATACTTTAACGTACAAATACTCTAATTTTACAGATTTATCCTCTCTTTTTACAGTCAATAACCTTTAATAAAAGTACATTACTAATACTTTAACGTACAAATACTCTAATTTTACAGATTTATCCTCTCTTTTTACAGTCAATAACCTTTAATAAAAGTACAGCACTAAAACTTCTACGGGCAAAAAACCCGTAAAAAAACGGTCAAATGACTGGCAGCAGCGGCTGCCAAACAAAAACCATAACATTAAAGTAAAAATACTTTAACTCAAATAAAGTGCAAAAGCAATTAATATACAGAAATTGTCCTTAACGATTTTACAGGAAACTTTCCTCTCTTTTCAAAATCCATTGTCTTAAAATGTTACATTCAAATACCTTAAATAAAGTTCGGATGAGAAAAACTGTTTTTTACATTTTTTTAGATTTGTATGATCAAACACTAAAATAAATACAGAACCTAAAGTTCTACAGGTAGAATACTGTTATTTTACAGCTTTTTTCTAACATTTTCCAATCAAAGACATTCAATGAAAAGACATCACAAAATGTTCTGTCGGAAACAATTACTCTGAAAACTTAAAATATGAAAACTAATGAATACAGCATTTCATATTTAAACATCATACTTATAAACAGTAGAAACAAAAAGTAAGTTGAATTTTTTTAAGAGTACTTTGAAACATTCTCAACTGAAAATAACAGAAATTACAAAATGGCAACATATGTTCACATTGTCAATTTGAAGGAGCAGTGTGCAGGATTTAGTACGTCTAACAATGGGGATGTAGGTTCCAACCAATGGATAACTTGTTCACTCACCCTCCTATCCCAAGTTTGTAGAATGTATATTGGCTGCAAAAACCTTGAGGCCCAATCATGTTTGCTCTGTCCATTCTGCGCTACTGTAGACGTGGCAGTGCAACCTAGAGGACAAAAAGATCAGAATCAGAAAACAGGTTTTTCACACGTATGAGGAATTTGACTAGGTGTCGTACATACACATATAAATAAAAAAAATTAAATAAAAAAAAGTACACAGATAGCGAACTATATTAAGAACACTGCAATAAAAATATAGTAAGATAGCAATAAAATAAAGCAGTAATATACATCGAAATAGAATGCAATAAATTATAGAATATAAAATATGTGCAGTAAGCAATATTTAAACATTGCATTATTTACCATCCTGTGATCTCCATTATGTAATGCATAGAGTCTGCGTTGTGGATGAGGTAAAGTGTCAGTGGGGGGGCCTTGTTGAGGTGGCGAGAGGTTTTGGTCCTGATGGAGAGAGGTTTTGGTCCTGATGGAGAGGTTTTTGTCCTGATGGAGAGAGGTTTTGGTCCTGATGGAGAGAGGTTTCGGTCCTGATGGAGCGCAGCCTCCTGCCAGAGGGGAGGGGGGTGAACAGTTTGTGTCCAGGGTGGGAGGGATCGGCCACTATCTTTCCTGCCCGCCTCAGGGTCCTGGAGGCATGCAGGTCGTGGAGGGATGGCAGATTGCAGCCTATCACCTTCTCTGCAGAGCGGATGACACGCTGCAGCCTGCCCTTATCCTTGGCTGTGGCTGCAGCGTACCAGATGGTGATGGAGGAGGTGAGGATGGACTCCATGATGGAGGTGTAGAAGTTCACCATCATCGTCTTTGGCAGGTTGAATTTCTTCAGCTGCCTCAGGAAGAACATCCTCTGCTGGGCTTTTTTGATGAGGGAGCTGCTGTTCTGCTCCCATTTGAGGTCCTGGGCGATGATGGTGCCCAGGAAGCGGAAAGACTCCACAGCAGTGACTGGGGAGTCACACAGAGTGATGGGGAGTCATACAGAGTGATGGGGAGTCACACAGAGTGATGGTGAGCCACACAGAGTGATGGGGGCGGGCGGGGCTGCGTTCTTCCTAAAGTCCACAACCATCTCCACTGTCTTGAGAGCGTTGAGCTCCAGGTGGTTTTCCCCACACCAGGTCACCAGATGGTCCATCTCCCACCTGTAGGCAGACTCGTCCCCACCAGAGATGAGTCCGATGAGCGTGGTGTCGTCTGAACTTCAGGAGCTTGACAGACTGGTGACTGGAGGTGCAGCTGTTGGTGTACAGGGAGAAGAGCAGAGGGGAAAGAACGCAGCCTTGAGGGGTACCGGTGCTGATGGTCAGAGACGTGTTTACCCAGCCTCACGTGCTGCTTCCTGTCAGACAGGAAGTCTGTGATCCACCTGCAGCTGGGAGAGCTTGTCCTGCAGCAGAGCTGGGATGATGGTGTTGAAGGCAGAGCTGAAGTCCACAAACAGGATCCTGGCGTAGGGTTCCTGCTGTGTCCAGGTGCTGGAGGAGGAAGTGAAGTGATAACTATTAGTAAACCATAATGATGGATGTTATATCAGCAGCTGCCAATAGATCCCCTAAATCTTGTAACTCTTGTATGATGGAACACACACACCACACAGAACACACACACACACACACACACACACACACACACACACACACACACACACACACACACACACACACACACACACACACACACACACACACACCACACACACACACACCACACACACACACACACACACACACACACACACACACACACACACACACACACACTTGAGAGCATCCCAAGGGCATTGATTATTTCATAAGTTTAGAAGGGGGGAACATAGTCTAACTACAGTTAGCTTTTGTTAATTTTACCTCGAGCCAAACTTGTGATACTTGTTTCTGAAATCCCTTTCTCTTAAAGTGAATAAAAAACAAAAAAAACAAAAAAAACAATGGAGCTTACCCTAAAACTAACCACTGGATTGCTTGTCTAACATGACCTAGTCCATGTTAGCGAAGTACAACTGGGATTTCGAGGGGGAAGATATGCTTGGTTGATTCTAATTTTTACTTTCTTACTTTTTGAATACAAATCATGTTTGTATCACTACACTTCTAAGGGACAACATGGGTCAAACATTGCCCGTATTCTTTTGCTATGTTATTTCATGCATGGCTGAGTGTTTATTTACTATACATTTTCAAAAATAATAAATTTTAGCAGTGATTTGGACCAAGCATGTATGATGTAGTAATACAACAAGTATTTTAGTTCACACAGTGTGACATTAGCTAGTCATGTTAGCTTGTAATATATAGAGCAGAGCTAACTAGCAAGTTAGCCGAACGTTAGCGGTTAGCTGTTTATGCTAGGCTAGCTGTTGGCTGCTGAACATTAACAAACTGGATTCCGCTGTAAGAAAGCTGTGAAACTTTACATTAAACTTGGCGACAACACTGTGACACCCCGCTGCATGTTTATGTGTAATTCTCCCGTGTTGGAGACGAGAGGTGGAGCGGCAGCACTGCAATAAGCTGTAAGCTAACGTTAGCAGCCACCTTGTTAAACCAGGTTTGGGCGCAACATCTTGCAAGAAACAGCATCTCAGGGCTTCTTAACATTTAACAACCTATTAATGATGCAAACTCAGCTAACTAGAAGAAGAAACGTAACCTTAAATAAAAAATAAAACATTCACAAACTAAGGATTAATACATGTTTAACTCCATTACAGTTGCAGGACTCACCAGATCTCAAGTCTTCTGTTCTTTGTTGACGTCCCGATGCTCATATTTAACGTGTAGATGTAAAACGATCCCGATATTAATCCATTAATCCATAAACTCCTGCAGCTCCGAGCCGGAACTGGAAAAGCGCCGGTGTGAAAGGGGCAGACAGCTGTAGCTCCGTCCGCAGGAGGAGACCCGCTCTAACTGACGTGAATGTTTCAAATGTGAACAACAGGCGCGGGCAGTTCTCATTGGCAGGTTTCTTCAATGACGTTTATATTAACCAATCAGGAGTGTTGTGGACTCATTCCAAACATGCCTGACTTGTCTGCCGTGTTATGGCTGAATTCCAATTCAAGTGCCGTAGCTCTGGCTGTCGGCCAGAATCCGAAAACCATGCACATTATACTGCATGAAAGACTAAGGCTTATTACTGTATATTGACCAATGGGGAAAAAAACACAGCAACAGAACACATAAATAAAACAAGGATAACTGTGACTTATTGTTGAGTAAATAACAGTGTGTGTTTTAAACCTGGGTCCTCCCTGCAGAGATTTCTCCACTTTCTAAGATTTTTATTTTTTTTAATGATATTGTCAACTGTAGATGTTTACAATATAGTAAGTTAGGAATTTAATGAAAACATATTTATTTACTTTTGTTTCAACATTGGATATTTTGTGTTTGTGGTGGATTCAATCGAATATTGAGAAAATGATTTATGTAAAAATGTTTTACTTTACATTTTTTTTGTTTGACGCTTTTTTTACAGTTTTATGTTTACCTTAAAATTACAAAGAAATATCTTAAAGTCTTATAATAGTAATACACTTTTATATTACGAGTTACATATTTAATTACAGATAATGCTTTTTATTTTACGTACATCTGCATGTATTTTCTGAAAGTGTAAAAATACTGTAAATATTATATAGTAAATGTACTGTAAAAAAAAATGAAATAATCGTTATTTGTTGTTATTGTCAAAATACTTAAAATAATGTTTTGGGTTGTTAATTTATAGTTAATATCTGTCATTTTACAGGATTTGGCAAGTTATTTAAAAAAACATGATAATTACTATAAAAATGTACAGTTATTTCCTGTAAAATTACGATCTTTTTTTACAGTGTATTGTGAAAGGTTGATGACCTTTAACCTCTAAGGAATGTAGACATTATGGCTCTCCATGCAGCAAGCAGATGTTTCCTGGACGTCTTGACCACTCCCCTTCTTCCTTTTGGGTCTGATTTTGTGAATATAAGACCCTTTGCAAATCTCCTGACTTTTGTACTTCGCTGCAGACTGCTTGACACTCTGCAACGTTTTACCTTCTTGCAAGAATACATTGTTATTTGAAGAATCTTCATTTCAGTATAACGGAAAGGTTTGCTCAGCATTTTATAATTATTTGTTAGTTTGTCTTGGTTAATTTGCACCACACAAGGCATTGTGGGACTGCATTTTCTCCTTTCCTTTCGTTAAGGAAGGTCCAGTATTTCCTTAGCTAAGGAGGTTATTATACCGCTCTCACTCTCCTGATTATTTGTCCCATTTATCAGGCCGTAAAACTTGCTAGAAGAAAACTGCTGAAAAATATTTTGGACAAGACTTCATACCGACTAGTTTTATTCTATCATAACCGGATTCTTACTATGAGTTACAGCTTACTTCTGATCAGCAGATGGAGGTCTTCCTTTAAAGTTTATGATGTCGTCCTTCGACCGGTCGCTCTTGAAGGACAGACAGCTGGGAGAGTCTGGTCTCTGCTGCTGGACCCTGAAACAGAAACAGATGCAGACATTGGCGTGCCTTCACTTCATACCCACTAGTTTTATTCTAAGGTTAAGGTGAGGGAATGTGGGACTTAAAGTGGACCTATTATGCTATATTTGAATAATATAGTGTAGGACCATACCTATATAAGGCATATTTATACTTTTTTTTCAAAATACCAAACAGATCATGCATTTTAGCCATGCCTCATTTTGCTCAATTTGACATTTTTTAGCTCTGTTTTTGCAAGGGCAGATTCTGTGAGAACAGCACCATCTACATGCCTGGCATATGTACTACAGCGTCTCCAGCGCTTTCGAACGGCAATGGCCGTGGCTGTCTCCTCCTGATTGGTGGAGTTGGCAGTTCTCATTGGCAGGTTTCTTCAATGACGTTTATATTAACCAATCAGGAGTGTTGTGGACTCATTCCAAACATGCCTGACTTGTCTGCCGTGTTATGGCTGAATTCCAATTCAAGTGCCGTAGCTCTGGCTGTCGGCCAGAATCCGAAAACCATGCACATTATACTGCATGAAAGACTAAGGCTTATTACTGTATATTGACCAATGGGGAAAAAAACACAGCAACAGAACACATAAATAAAACAAGGATAACTGTGACTTATTGTTGAGTAAATAACAGTGTGTGTTTTAAACCTGGGTCCTCCCTGCAGAGATTTCTCCACTTTCTAAGATTTTTATTTTTTTTAATGATATTGTCAACTGTAGATGTTTACAATATAGTAAGTTAGGAATTTAATGAAAACATATTTATTTACTTTTGTTTCAACATTGGATATTTTGTGTTTGTGGTGGATTCAATCGAATATTGAGAAAATGATTTATGTAAAAATGTTTTACTTTACATTTTTTTTGTTTGACGCTTTTTTTTACAGTTTTATGTTTACCTTAAAATTACAAAGAAATATCTTAAAGTCTTATAATAGTAATACACTTTTATATTACGAGTTACATATTTAATTACAGATAATGCTTTTTATTTTACGTACATCTGCATGTATTTTCTGAAAGTGCAAAAATACTGTAAATATTATATAGTAAATGTACTGTAAAAAAAAATGAAATAATCGTTATTTGTTGTTATTGTCAAAATACTTAAAATAATGTTTTGGGTTGTTAATTTATAGTTAATATCTGTCATTTTACAGGATTTTGCAAGTTATTTAAAAAAACATGATAATTACTATAAAAATGTACAGTTATTTCCTGTAAAATTACGATCTTTTTTTACAGTGTATTGTGAAAGGTTGATGACCTTTAACCTCTAAGGAATGTAGACATTATGGCTCTCCATGCAGCAAGCAGATGTTTCCTGGACATCTTGACCACTCCCCTTCTTCCTTTTGGGTCTGATTTTGTGAATATAAGACCCTTTGCAAATCTCCTGACTTTTGTACTTCGCTGCAGACTGCTTGACACTCTGCAACGTTTTACCTTCTTGCAAGAATACATTGTTTGAAGAATCTTCATTTCAGTATAACGGAAAGGTTTGCTCAGTATTTTATAATTATTTGTTAGTTTGTCTTGGTTAATTTGCACCACACAAGGCATTGTGGGACTGCATTTTCTCCTTTCCTTTCGTTAAGGAAGGTCCAGTATTTCCTTAGCTAAGGAGGTTATTATACCGCTCTCACTCTCCTGATTATTTGTCCCATTTATCAGGCCGTAAAACTTGCTAGAAGAAAACTGCTGAAAAATATTTTGGACAAGACTTCATACCGACTAGTTTTATTCTATCATAACCGGATTCTTACTATGAGTTAAAGCTTACTTCTGATCAGCAGATGGAGGTCTTCCTTTAAAGTTTATGATGTCGTCCTTCGACCGGTCGCTCTTGAAGGACAGACAGCTGGGAGAGTCTGGTCTCTGCTGCTGGACCCTGAAACAGAAACAGATGCAGACATTGGCGTGCCTTCACTTCATACCCACTAGTTTTATTCTAAGGTTAAGGTGAGGGAATGTGGGACTTAAAGTGGACCTATTATGCTATATTTGAATAATATAGTGTAGGACCATACCTATATAAGGCATATTTATACTTTTTTTTCAAAATACCAAACAGATCATGCATTTTAGCCATGCCTCATTTTGCTCAATTTGACATTTTTTAGCTCTGTTTTTGCAAGGGCAGATTCTGTGAGAACAGCACCATCTACATGCCTGGCATATGTACTACAGCGTCTCCAGCGCTTTCGAACGGCAATGGCCGTGGCTGTCTCCTCCTGATTGGTGGAGTTGGCCCAATAGCCGTAGCGCCACCGTCCTGACGTCAGGACAGTGTTCAAATCTGGATCAGTTTTTATCAGATCCGTTGCAGCCCCTTTTTTAGAGATTTGGGTATGGAGGAAAATAGAGAGGGTTGTGTTTTCTGACACTTGGTGAGTTCCCTGGAACACCGGGGACACATATTCATGTATAAAAGACGTACAAAAGTGCATTTTGCATGATAGGTCCCCTTTAAGTCGGGACAAATCTGAGTTTGAGGAGGTTACTAGACATCCAGGTTTTATGTTGCGGAGGAAATTGACTTGTGAGAGGGGAGGGGGCTGAGTGGATGGGTCAGTGCTGAGATGGATTTGGGGGTCGTGGGCGTAGGAATGAAAATTGAGACCGTGTTGGCGGTTGATTTGACCAAGGGGGAGCATGTAGATGGTGAAGAGAAGAGGGCCAAGCACTGAGCCTTGCGGCACGCCTTGGTTGACTGGGGCTGGAGGGGAGCTGGAGTTTCTGATGGTGACAAACTGTTACCTGTTGGAGAGGTATGAGTGGAACCAGGATAGAGCTGTACTCGTAAGGCCAAGGTAGTTGGATAGGCGGTTGAACAGGATGGTATGGGAGATGGTGTCAAAAGCCGCAGACATGTCTAGGAGGATGAGGATACTGATGTGGCCTAAATACACATAATGCAGCTAAAAGTGTTGAAGGGCAATGATAAAACAGAGTGAGATGATCTCTGGATAGTGTGACGACCCCTCCACACCACGTGGGGTGCCGTCTGGTTGTGTGTGTGTGATTGCAGGTGCCTGGGTGCCGGAAGCATTTAAGAGGAGTCCAGCCGGTTACGTCGCTCTCTCACTCCTCTGGGCACTCTCTCCGGGCCAGCCTCGGGGATCTGTTGCTGGTGCCGCATCTTCAACTTTGTGTATTTATAATAAACGTCTTTGTTATTCATACCCCTCGTCTCGCCTCCCCGCTTTATGTTGCAGCCCAGGAGCCGGGTTGTAACAATAGGCAGCACTAAAGAGAAAGATTTTAGACTCGATTTAAAGAACTCAGGGTGGGGGCGGACCCCAGATCTCAGGAAGGTTGTTCCAGATCTGCAGCGCATAGAAGCTAAAAGCTGCCTCAGTGAATTTGGTTCTGACCCTGTGGACGATGAGTAAACCTGCCCCGATGATCTGAGAGCTCTGGGTGGCTCGTTACAGAGCAGCATATCAGACATGTATTCTGGTCCCAATCCATTGAGTGCTCTGTGAGTTAAAAGTAAGATTTTAAAGTGTGTTCTTTGTGGTATTGGAAGCCAGTTTTGAGAGCTGAGGTGATGAGCTCAGTTCTTCTGGTTTTGATGAGGACTCTGGTGGCAGCGTTCTGGATGAGTTGTAGTAAAACACTGATGCAGTAATCAAGTCTGCTTCTATCATAACCGGACTCTAACTATGAGTTACAGCTTACTTCTGATCAGCAGATGGAGGTCGTCCTTTAAAGTCTATGATGTCGTCCTTGGACCTGTCGCTCTTGAAGGACAGACAGCTGGGAGAGTCTGGTCTCTGCTGCTGGACCCTGAAACAGAAACAGATGCAGACATTGGCATGCTGGAGAAAACTGATGAAGAATATGTTAAATCTCTTAAAGTCCCTATATTTAACTATGGAATGGTAATATCGCTCTGTATTGCTAATGTGTGAACAGATCGTAATGACATTTTAAAACTGGGACATCAACACCTATTATTGAGTGTTCTGCTATCTGTACAATTATATGTTATGCACTTTAGTGACTTGTGTGCGATGTTAATGTTGTTTAAGCTATCTGATGGTGACAGTAATATTAGAGAAAAGTAAGAAGTCTTAGATAAATGCTGTGAAACGAAAAAGTGTTTGGACTCTACTAAAGAAGCTTTGCATGTTTTCTACTTGCCGTACTTTTGGTAATGCAATTGACTAGAGTAAAGTTCTCGCTGAGGAAACACCGCTCTCACTCTCCTGATTATTTGTCCCATTTATCAGGCCGTAAAACATGCTGGAGAAAGACTGCTGAAAAATATGTTGGACAAGACTTCATATCAACTAGTTTTATTCTATCATAACCGGACTCTTACTGTGAATTACAGCTTACTTCTGATCAGCAGATGGAGGTCGTCCTTTAAAGTCTAAGAAGTCTTCCTTCGAGGAGTCGCTCTTTAGGGACAGACAGCTGGGAGAGTCTGGTCTCTGCTGCTGGACCCTGAAACAGAAGCAGATGCATCAAGAGAAGAAGAAGGAGCTCTTCATCGTCCCACAGAGGGGAAATGTACATTCTGCATTTGATCCATCCTAGTGTTAGGAGCAGTGGGCTGCCATATGTACGGCGCCCGGGGAGCAGTGTAGGGAACGCTGTCTTGCTTAGGGACACCTGGGTAGCACTTGGTCTTCCGGGGTCTTGAACCGGTGACTCTCTGGTTCCCAAGCCAAGTCCCTACGGACTTTTCCACCACCGCCCACACACCTGGGTAGCACTTGGTCAATATGTTAACTCTAAAGTAACTCTTTACAATGTCATGGTATAAATCGCTCTGTGTTTCCCAACAGATGAACCTTCCAGACTTTCTGAGTGTCCTCTATCAGCCGGTGGACTGCTCTCTATGTGAAGGACTCCTAAAGACGTGAAGTTTATCTACAAAGTGCCTCGCGTCTCTTCAGCTGCCCTACAGCCAGCAGTGTGAAGCTAACGTAAACACATCTGTCTTTAGTGGATAACGTCACTGAGTTCATGCCCAGGATGCTAACTGCAGTTCACTTAACGCCCACCGACGTCGCTAATAACCAGGATTTCCTGAAGGTTACATAGAAGCTTTAACAGAGACAACAACTGACTCAAATGGCTTTTAGTCTGTTTTAAATTCTTACCCCCCGTCAGCAGATTGAGGCTCCATTGAGCGGTCACTCAGGAAACACAGCGGGACTCAGGTCCAGGTCCAGGTCCAGGTTCAGGTCCAGGTCCAGGTCCAGGTCCAGGTCCAGGTCCAGGTCCAGGTCCAGGTCTAGGTCTGCTGCTCTGGGCTTCAACACACAAGTGCATGCTGAGCTTAAGTGGTGTAAACTAAGTACATTTATTCAAGTACTGTACAGATGGGGCATCTTATTTTGGACTCCAGCATACAGCTTCCTGCCTACTACCAGCCAGTTACCTGCCTAAGACCAGTATGTAGGAATGTTAAGCCCTCCCACTATTTTCCAATTTCAGGGTTTAACCAGGAGATTGCGCTACATATTAAATAACTATGGCCAAACTAAGACTTAGTTTTTCACAAGAGAAAATGCAGATATTATATAAAAAACTAAAGTTAAAATCTTGTTTTTAAAGCTTTTTGGAAGAAAAGACTGACCCAAGAGACCTGTAGTTGACTAATTACAGGCCTCAATAAAGTTTATACATTGATTTAGTTGACAGTCCAGTTTAGCTTTCCTGTGGCATTATGTATTTGTGATTCACTGAATATTTTGTACAACCCAACAGGAAAAGCTAAACAAACATTATAAGGAAAACAATTTGTCTCCCTCTGTTTGCATCTCTGTCTGTCTTAGTCTACTGTATATGTCAGTCTTTCTGTCTCTTTCTCCTTCTCTCTCTCTCTCACCATCTAATAACTCTAACTTCTAGGTGGACTGGGTGAGGGCAGTGGGTGCATTTCTGAACTCTTATTTAAACATCACCAGAGATATTGTTTGATGGAATCTTCCTTTATTTTATGTATCACCATATATGTGTATGTATGCCTAATTAATGTCTGGGACATGGATAACTAATGCCACACGAACAACACAATATATTTGGCTGTCCTTCATAGATTAAAACCAATTACATGATGAAGGGTTGGACATCTAATCCTGTTGGATATGTTCTATCCAGATATATACCCCAAAACAGCATTCATTTATCAAAACATACATTGTTTCCTTGGTATGTTGAAGGTAAGTGCACGCTGACATGCATGAGACAGTAATATGATACGTTTGGTGTCCCTTTGTCCAAGAAAAGCAACAAAGCAACCGACTAACATCAGAGCAGAGATAAAATAGAGCCTGAAAACACCCAGGTAAATGGCAAATGTTGTCAGCCATCATGACTGCATCTCCTCTGAGAGATAGACATTGGGTCGCAGGAACAGCACCTAAGGCTATGATTATGACACATTTTAAATAAATAATGAAGCAGGAGGCAAGATTGACTGCTGTTATACTGACAACCTTAATCCCAACTGAACAGTATTTAAAATCAGTTAAGTTTTCAGCTTATGGTTGTTACCCAGTAGTGGCTGGTGGCGAGTTATACTGTATGCATAATGAACACAAAGTGAATCTCTTGAGTTGTTGTTGTTGTTGCTATATTCATGCAATTCATGCTTCAGAGTTATCGGCCAGATCAAAAAAGTGCTTTATGAATGGCCACATGGTGTTGCTATACATACATACATGTCTTTAAATATGCATGTCAGATCATCACCCTTAGCTATTTCAATTACCTCTCAAACACGTTGACCGGCGAAAAACTCTGCCCGGTTCACCGACCCCCCTCTGAGTGAATACCTGTTAACTTACTTCACAACTTGTCACAAGCTTTTTGGAAGAACAGACTGACCCAAGATATCTTGGTTTGATTTGGAGAAGGCTTTTAAAGTATACTAACTCTAACTCTATTGTATACTAACTCTTCCCGTCAAGAATATGAATAGAACTTAGATAGATCACTTTACATTTCTGCGAATGAATAGCTTAGCTACTTGGCACTAAGAGTACAGATATGTCTACCCTTTCTTTTCAGAGTGTAATATCTGCATTTTCTCTTTTGGTTTGAATAGGAGAAGGGCAATGGTTATCGATTGTGCTTTTAAAGCCTATTGTATACGAACTGTGTGATTTATATTGCTTTCAAATGCATATAAGCCCCCCATTTACACTGCACTTCCCGTCAAGAATATGAATAGCACTTAGTTAGATCACTTTACGGATCAGGTTGGACCAGCCCTGTCGCTACTCTCTGCAGGTCCGCTCCATTTCCTACTGCAGATCAAAAAAAGCTAAAAATATGTATTTCTTAATAAACTAAATAGGCCACCATTGGTAGCAGTTCTCATTATATACTTCTCAGTAACTGCTCCCCTTAAATTAAATGTATTCTGTAGATAAATGTAAACGTTCACCATCCCCCACCCGCCTACTGTATGTTGCTTTTTGACATGTAAATGGATAACTACCCCCCTCTGAGTGAATACCTGTTGTACCTGTCTGGGGCTAAGCCCATAGGACGAGAAGTGTGTGTTTTCCTCCTCTTGGGTCAGTCGCAGATAGGCATAGTTTGTTAAATATAGGACCATAAGATTAGGATTTATTGTAGATTAATTTGTTAAATAAAAACATGGTGATGTTTTATAATATAAGATTACGTACACGTACACAGATACATTATTTTGTATTTTTATTAAATTCGACAATGTCAATTTCACTTTCCACTATGTCCACCATTGTTTTTCACAACCAATGGCAGAACTTTATTGAGGCCTGTAATTAGTCAACTACAGGTCTCTTGGATCAGTCTTTTCTTCCAAAAAGCTTGTGACAATGTGTAATATATCATTTATATATAGTACTTGATGATAGAGGTCTCCGTTCTGAAAGGACTTTCTCAGATTGGAAGAGAATCAAAAAGTGAAAGGAGTGAAAAAAAAAAATTATTTTGCAATTTATGTTATTGTTTTGTTAAAAATGTAAGGAAGAGTGTCTAAAATATCTGGGGAATGTTACACATTATTGATACTTTGAACATGTTATTATTTAATTTGATAATTCCTTTGGATTTCGTGCTGGCACTTGATTTCGTTTACAAATGGAAATCCACATAGTTGGCTTATCGCTCCCTCAAGAAACGGAGAGTCAGTATCATAAGCTTTTTACAGGAATGTAGATTTGTGCTGCAGGGATTCTCATGAGGATGGAGTGCAAACTGAAAAATGATGTGGGCATGTTAAAGCAAATAATGAAACAGTTAATTATTCTAAAACACTGATTTAAAGGGAACAGTAGCTGTAAATCGATGCACATTTTAAATGCTCTTAGCTGAAGCTGTTAACAACAATCAGTGACAGTCTAGCTTTATTAAAATATACTGTAGGCATGTTTGTTTGCGTGCCATCTGTGCAGCAAAGGCAACAAGTGGTCAATACAGCATGTCTCATTTTGAGCAAACATCACATCGGGTAATATTTAATCCTGAATGTGCTATCACGATCTCTTGTAGGAGCGCGTTGCGACTCTGAGCGTTAGGGAAACCCATCATCTTGATAAAACATGAACTTTTCTTGTTATCATTTTTATTGTGTTACCAATTAAGTTAACAGGTATTCACTCAGAGGGGGGTCGGTGAACCGGGCAGAGTTTTTCGCCGGTCAACGTGTGTGAAAGTTAAAATCTTCCTTATTGAGCTTTAAAACAAATGAATAACGACTATATATTATAATAAAATATGGATAAAGAAAGTAATCCAAAAGTAATCTAAAAGTAATCTGATTACGTTACTTTTTTAAAACACGTAACTGTAACTGTATTCGGATGCTTTCAGAGCCATGTATTCAGTAATCAGTAACTGATTAAATTTACAGCTGTCACTACCCGATCCGTTCGCCTGCCCGATCGGTAATGCGCATGTGCGAGGTGCATATTGCACAACTCCGTACGGCAACCCAACTAGGACATTTGACACAGTGGCTTTTGGCAAAGCACACAAAGAAAACTAAAAAAACCGAGAGAGATGAGTTATTACATTATGCTTATTACAACGTGACTTCACCCATTATTTAACAACTATTTCAATTGGGTTCTTTTATTTGGGGTTAAGTACATTGTCAGAATAAGTGAGAAATGGATTTAACTTCTGTTAGACAGCTATCATACTGAATACATATGTATGCAAAAATGTATGGCATTAATATCCTAATAAGACTCACCTAATTAACTAACAACTACAGTGGCGAGCAGTGAGCTTTATACCTAGGCCCTCTGACCTCCACCCCTTCCCTCGAAAAAAAAAGAAAAAGAGTTATTACGTCACAGCGTATACTTCAGCGGAATATCAAAACAACGGCCCAGGGTGCAAAACGCATCAATGACAGCGACCCTCTACCACACAAAACAACACCTGTGAACCCAATTTGTGTTCTTTGACATTGAAAATGATATTGCATTGAGTTTGTTACTTTCGTTGCAGTTGTATGTCTTAAGTGTAATTTGGCATGCTTTTATTTTGAAGGCGAGTTCACGCTGTTGACAGGAAGTTGTTGTTGCTATGGAAACAAGAAAAGTTTCACAGCGGGCGGAACTTGTCATCTAGTCCGCGATAATAAAACCCACCCATTTAGAGGGAAGATATGATTGGTCAATTGTACTGTCATTTGACATTACTCTCTCGTTCAGTTACTATAGCAACCCTCTGTGAATCGCAGAGAGGGCCAGACGAGCTTCTTTCATGTAACCCACATTCAAACAGAGACTGAACAGGCAGATTGGAAGGATTTATTTATTTGGAAATGTTATTTTATTAAATCAAGTTTTTTTTCGGTAAAACTAATGAAAAATATAACAAAAATAATATTAAAAAAATATATATATATTTTTAATGTTTTTAAATATTATTTTTTGGAATATCTTAGGCCCTCACAGAGGGCCTAGAGGGCCCTGACGGCTCGCCACTGGTTTTGACTGGTGGCTAATGTTAGCTAGCATCGAAGCTAATGTAGGCTAACTGCCACCTGTTGCCATAGCTACAGCTGATCAGAGAAAAGTTTAATCAAATCTAAGTTTATTTATAAGATTCAATATAAAAAAACATGATTGTCTCTCAGTGGGGTTTACATTATTAACAAAACATACACAAAATACATGATAAAAGGAAAAGATAGAATTTAAAATACAACAAAAAGTAAATTAAAATACA